AAGGCCAACCAAGTATCAGATGATTTTATCCGTCAGTGGTTCTCACACTTTGGTCCCCATCACATTTGGGATTGGGCAGGGTTGGGGTGGCAACTTCAGAATCTCTGCTGCAATAGAATTTGCACTGCCTACCAGCTGGCAGGGATACCAGGATTTCTGGTCCAGTGATTCCACATTGAGAACCACTCATTTAAGTTTGTATAACTTAGTCGTAATCAAATCTCTGTAATGTGGGTGGTGTTATCCCCATTTTGTAGGGAAAATGGAGTTTAGAAAACTTATCAGAGTAATAAGTTTAAATCCTCATGAAAGAGAAGATGAGAAATTGCCTTCCAAGAATCTTCAGAATTTCGGAATACCTCTAGTGGGTGACAGGAACACAAAACTACAGATATTAATCTCTACTCCCCTGTGACCCTCGAGAAAGAAGGATGTCATCAGAATGTGACAGAAACTGTGCTTGGTATATACCTAGTGCTACATGTTCCCAAAGAAGACAATGAAAACTGAAGCCCTTCTTTCAGAGATCCTTAAGAATTTTAATTGGGAGAGACTGAGGCATGGAATAGTTTAGTGATTTGTTTGATTTCACATTGTAGAGTAGCAGCACTAGGATATAAGCTGTCTTGAAACTCAATTGAGTTTTAATTATAAGAAGGCAACTTTAAAGCTTCTATTTGCCACCTTGATTGCCATCTGCCATGCTCACCATCTAAAAAGCATCTGAATGCTAAGGCAACATAATGAGGTGGAATTGTACTAAATCAGGAATCAAAGTTCATTTATTTTTACTATTTTTATTGGGTATCTTTCACATGCTAGGCACTAATCTGGGTGTTAGGGATAAAGTGGTTAACAAGATAGGATTCTTTTTTTTTTCATTCTAAAAGACAATGAAAACAGTTAATGGATGAGTTAAAAAACCACAAAAACTATAAACAAAATGCAGGAAATTTAAGAGATTGGTAAATACTGTTAAGAAAATCAAAACCCAGATAATGTGGAAAATAACCACAGACCCAGAAATTTACAAACACTGGTTTAATCATTTACTAAAGATGCAGAAAGAAAGAAAAGAGGGAGATTGACTACTAGCTAGTGGTTTATTTGTCACATCCTGGTTCTTAACATTTTACTTTTCTGAGTTCTCTTTTATCTATGACTATAACCCAGATTTCCCCTCCAAACTTCAGAATTGCTTTAGGAGTCTCAGAGAAGGAATGTTCTTGTATTTACAAGGAAGCAAACTACAAAAAGATGATAATATGTGCTTGGAAAGATATGCAGAGGTACATTTTGAAAACTGGCTTAGTATTTGTAATCATATAAACAAAGGATTCAGATATGCACTTAAAAGTCAACAATCATAATCATAATAATATTGATTCAAGCAAGAGTTATTAATGGCTGGTCAAGTTTAGCACATGTTTAGTTTTTCCAACTCTGAGTGATATTACAGTAATAACTTGAAGTCAGCCATGGTGAGATTTTTTAAACCAGGAATTTGGAAAATGCTACCATGTAGACCTTTTAAAATTATTTCCCCCCTCCCAGAGGGCTGGTTATTATTAGGAGAAACTCCTTCATAGATCTCTTATGCTTTTATGTGTAGTGCTGGGTATGTCAAGAATGTGTCCTGACCTCTCTTTGCCCAGGATATTTCTCAGGGCTTTATTTTCAGTGAGCACTTTGAGATCATGACTCCCTCTGGGTCAAAGAGCAGTCTTGTTTAGTGCTCACTATAAAAGTGGTGGATTCTTGAAGTTGTGTTTTTCTTCTACCAAGCAACATGCTGCATGTTATGGGTTAGATATTAGGTGTTCACCAAAAGACATTGTGAGAGACAATGCAAGAACATTCAGTGGTGAATTGATGGGTTTATGAGAGCCTTAACCCAATCAGTGAATTAATCCCCTAATGGGAATTAACTGAGTGGTAACTGAAGGTGGGTAGGGTATGGCTGGAGGAGGTGGATATTGGGGCTTGTGCCTTTGGGGTATATATTTTGTATCTGGTGAGTGGAGATCTCTTTGCTTCCTGTTCATCATGTGAGCTGCTTCCCTCTGCCACACTCTTCTGCCATGATGTTTTGCCTTATCTTGAGCCCTGAGGAATGGAGCTTGCTATCTAGGGAATGAGACCTCTGAAACTGTGAGCCCTCAAACTTTTCCTCCTCTAAAATTTTTCTTGTCAGGTCTTTGAGTCACATCAGCAAAAAAGCTGACTAAAATACTGCATATGCTATATACTTGTTATGCTGTGAGTGATCAACTCTGTCTTCAGCAACCATCCATTAAACAGTAATGGACTAACCCAATAGATTATAAAGGTAGGATAAACCTCAAATTGCAGCTGTGACAGTTTGGGTAGCAAGGATGTCATGATCATGGAGACATGGCTTTCTGGAAGAAGAAGGGAAAAAGTTCCATAAATCAGATTCCAAGAGGTGAGAAAACTCCCTGGAATCTGGTAGCTAATATTCTTGCCCAAGTAGTGGATGGGGGTGGGGGAGGGTTATGAGTATAGAAGGTAGTGGGAGGGGGGAGGGTTTCTCACTTTCCTATCTGTTAATAATTGACTTAAATTAATGCCCAGAGGCTAAGCTGCAAAAAGTCAAACTAAACAAAGCAGCAATATGGTGCTTGATTGTGTCTTTTTCTTTGCTTGGTGGGCAGAGGAGGGAATGTTATCAGGACGGTGGGCAAGCAAGCTCCATAGCTCCTGCTGCAAGACACGTGTCTATATCTGCTGAGCCAGGAGTGCACAAAGTCAAGCAATTTGTATTAGTGATGAAGACTTTGCTACTTATATAGAGTTTTCATCAACCAAAAACATTGGTGTAGATAAACTGAAAACAAGGAAAAATAAGCAAAAAGCCTGGCCTACCAGTGCAGAGGCTCTGCATTCATGCACTTGGCCCTTGCACAACTGGACTAGGTCTTTGAGAGAATGGAGTGCTATGCACAGCTGTCTCCAAGGGCCCTCAGAAGAGCATGGTGGAACTATAGCTATGGTGTATACAGAGGCAGGGAAAAAAAGTGTCTCTAGTCCCTGGTCTCTACTGGACATCAGGAGCATATAAAGGAGGAAGTAGTACTGGTGCTCAGTCAATGGCTTTGGGGTGAGAGTTTGAAAAAGGCTCAGGGCTACGTTTCCTTTGGCCCCCTTACCAGCCCACTGTAGTGTGGTCTCTCTTGCTAGCATTTAACCTCTGTCCTCTCAGCCAGTAGAGCACAGACTGTTGCTACAAACCCCGATATACACTCAGATTAGATTCCTTGGTGCTTGAATTCAAGGGATTTGGACACTGCTGGGAATGGGGGTGGGAAGCTAATGTGGCTTACCTGGTGAGGCTTCTGGCCCAATCCAATGTGCTGTTTTGGATTGCACTGCCAAGTGTGTTATGGGTTACAGTGTTCTACAGACTTGTGCTATGAATGCCCATACATGTCAGAGCGATTTTTTTCCTGTCCAGTAGGTCAAACAGAAAAAAAAAATACTCAGAGTGAATAATGGAAATCTTAGCATATGTTTAGGTGATAATGACCACCCAGAGTCTAGGAGAAGACAAGTTTCATTATGATGGCTCTACTTTTCTGATGTAGCCAAGTTCCTTAAAGGCAGCTATTAGCATCCTACTAAGCTCATATTGAAACTGAGTCTTGGCAATGGGAGCCTCTGACTCTCAGGCTGGATACTCTTATTTTGGGACAGATTAACTTGGATTGACAAAATAAGGTGGGCAGGTTTAAACAGCCTCTCTTGTCAAATGGAAAAGAGCAACTGTAGTGGCATCTCAGATGCCACTAAGTTCTACACGAAAAAGTGACAGTGATCTCTTCGGGGGAGAAAATATCCTTCACTCCACTACCTGAAACAGCTGCTGACTTAGGGGACCTTGGGTTCATCTCTAACACGGCCTAGTTTGGGGATGGATCGGCTAAGGCGACAGCTGATGGTGTCCACCAGGTGGCGGCAACCATCCAACTGCAATGAAAAATTTGGATGACCACGGACAGGCAGCATAAAGGGTGAAGGCCAAAACCCTCGTCTATGACAATATTCTCAAGACGTCTGACTTTTGGCCTGTTACAAATGGCCTAGCCCCTTGATTTTCCATTTAGACGTCTAAGACTGGCAGATTAAAGGCACCCCTCTCTGGGGCCATAAACCATGCAAATAAATTGTATCTGCCAATCAGACCGTCTGGGTCATTTGTGTCTGTGCCAGCCATAATGGCCTGTTCTCTAATCAGACCAACTAGCACCAAGCTTTTCATGGAGCCTTCAGTGGCTCAGATTGCTGTCACTGTCACTTGGTTTTGGTACCTCATCAAAGGGGCAATATATTCAGCATCACAGACTGGGCACAGTAAAGAACTGTGTGTTTCTAATGCAGACTGCATACCATATACTGCACAGGAGTCACAATTCTGCCAAGATTTGGTCTGTTTGTTCTGTGGTGAAGTAGGTCACATTGCATGGGACATTACCTCTGTCTATTCCTGGCAAATTGACTGTGTCACAGCTTTGAGTCCCTTTTGAGACTCCCATTGTTGCTTCATGGCTTTGACATTTCTTTTGGGTTATGGTATTACAATTCCATCCAATCAGCCAACTCCAGTCCCACCACTGTGGCCCTTAAAATGAAATTGTGTCATGTGTTAGACGTTCTGCATCATTTGCAAAGACCATCCAACAATGGGCTCATAGTCAAAGAATTTAAAGGACATTCAATGTTCCTTACCATCTGCAGTATTGCCGAGTGCTGGAATGGGAGTCTCAAAAATCAGGTCAGAAGGGTTTCTGAAGCTCCGTCTCTTACCTTTTCCTGGTTTACACATTTTAGTAAGGCAGTCTGATCACTCAACATGGTTGTCAAGAAAGTTTTTTTCTTGCCATTCCTGGAAGGTGATCTGGACATAAGGAGACTTTTTTTTTTTGATTAGGATTCTACTGTGACAATTCATGAACATAATATGTATTTCTTTTCCTTAACAGAAAATCCAGATCAGCCCAATTGGTCCTGAATGATTCTGCAGTTTCTGATGCCATCAGTGTTGACCAACACACAGCCCAGCACAACATTATTTCAATCTGAATGGTGCAAAACCATATGCCTCTCCTGATGCCTGAGCAGCACTAGGATGTACAGTGAATGGAGACTGAGGCTGTAATACTCAGTGACATGGATTTATTTTTAAAGTAAACTCATAATTGTGATCCAAATCAAGTTTAACAAGTCTCAAACTGGAGTAACTGGGACCCTTCAGGTTATATGTTTGTATGTGGAAGAGAATGGATATCCAATGTCTTACCAATAAGGATGGGAGCTGCTTTTTGACCCACTGATTGTCCTCTGTAATAATTGATAATGACACCAAGGATGAATGAATTATTTTAACCCTTAAAATTTTTTTAGTTGCATTTGGACACAATACCTTTATTTTATTTATTATTATGTGATGCTAAGGATCGAACCCACCACCTCACATGTGCTAGGCAAGCACTCTAGTGCTGAGCCACAACCCCAGCCCTTTTAACCACTTTTGGGTGGGTCATTATGGATGACAGACTGTTGGGGCAGGCCTCAAAATGGCTGTAGTTAGCTTGCCAGAAGTCTCGGTGAGGGAACCTTTGTTATATATTTAATGTGTTGTCAGGGCTGGGAACTGGCTGTTATGGTTAGTCAAGGTCAGAAACACTGATTCAGCTTATAGACTCAAGGTCGTAAACATTAACTTATGAGCACAGACCTCTCTATGTAACCCGTTGGCAGTGTGCTTTCTTCGTTTGGCTTTCATATAAAAAAGGCCTATGGAAATAGGCTAAAGGAGGACTAAAATGGAACTGGCTGGGGGCTGGCTAGTTGCCGTGGCCACCACTGAATAAAGCATGTCTAATATCTAGCTGCATTTTGTATCTTCTTTCACCTGCCAAACCCCAGATCTGTTTTCCGAGTCAGAGCCCCCACACGACACAGACTGACTTTAGAACACATGCTGGGTGGTAAAAGGAATAATGGCCACCTCAAAATGTCCACATCCTAGTCCTCAGAACCTGTGAATATGTTATTTTACATAGTAAAAATTGCTTTGAAGATGTGGTTAAATTAAGGATATTGATGTGGGAGGTGTTCCTGGATTAGCTGGTTATGCCCAATGTAATTGTAGGGTCCTTATAAGAGGAAGGTAGGAAAGTCAGAAATGAGAGCACAGGTGTAAGGATAGAAGCCGAATTCAGAGAGGAGAGAAAATAATCTGAGGATTGAGGAAGAGATCATAAGCCAAGGAATATAGGAGGCCTCTAGGAGCTGGAAGACATGACAGCTTCCCAAAACAGGACACTCCTGAAGACCCTTTTGACCCATTTTAGATGTAGGCCCTTATACGATAAAAGTTTGTGTTGCTTTAAGATGCTAAGTTTGCGACAATTTATTACAGCAGTAATAGTACTGTAATCTCTATTAGTTTCCTATCACAGTACTACACAAAAGTGGGGTTGTGATGTAACAAATGTGAATGTGGCTTTGGAATGGGTAGTAAGTAGAGGCTAGAAGAATTTTGTGAAACATGATAGATTAAGCCTAGAGAGCCTTGGGAAGACTAAATAAATTTTATATGAATATTCTGCCTATGATGGCTCAGAAGGAATTGAGAAGCATGGTAAATAAAAATTGTATTATTTTAGAAAATACCTGAATGTCAAACAGACTGTTGGTTAAAAAAAAAAATGGATGCTAATTTTAGCACCTCTGAGAAGAGCAGAGAGGAAATGAGGAACATGTAACTGGCAACTGGAAGAAGGCGATTCTTGCTTGCTTAGTGATGAAAGCAAAAAAAGGTGAAAATGCTAGATTTTTTCTCTTTTTGCTGCTTCTAAGAATATATGAAAGGAAATGGATGGAAGGAAAAAGTATTAAGAAAAATAAATCAGGACCCAGTGATTTGGGAAATTCTCAGCCAATTTTCACTGCAAAAGACACTAAAATTAGGAGATTAATTATCAAGAAAGAGTGCCCTGGAGACAATGCCAAGGATGTGGCTGGATAATTTTTTTGTCAGTACTTTAGAAGGATCAAAAGGCTAGATATTATTTAATTAGAGTTCTTTGATGAGATTAGAAATGACTTATGGACAATTTAAGCCATCTAAACAGAAGCCAGGAATAGAGAAGGGGTTATCTTGGAAACATCCGAAAATGACCTTTTTGTCATTAATCTCTATGACACACATAAGAGAATCAAAAGGGTTTTGGGAATTGTGTGTGATCACAAGCACTTCCAGACTGGACTGAAAAGGACAGAAGTAGAATGTGGTAAAGAAAAGTTTTAGGATTCCCATAATTCTACAGACAAGAGGCCGGCTAATAAAAATACTCACCTTCAAACATGTGATACCATTCAAGGGAAAAAAAAAATACAATGATACCAAGGACAGAGCTTCAGACCCAGGGGATAATTCCCAAACCTTGAAGCTAATGGAATTTGTCCTGAAGGATTTAAAAATTGCTTAGAAGTAGTAATTCTTTTCTCTTTTCATTTTCTATTTACAAAACACTTTTATTACACAGGGGGAAAAAAGTGCAAAAGGAAATCTTGCACCTTAACCAAGTAATCAAAGTTAATATCACCAGTAATGGCACAAATGGAATTGTTTGCTATCAAATATAATGTGATAAGAACACATTACTTCTGTGAGATTTCAGCAAAAATAAATAAATTAAATCTTGAGGAAACAAGACAAACCTGAAGAAAAGGAGACAGATGATCTTGGATTGAATTCTTGAGTAATGCAATTTTTTCTTTCTTTTGCTATAAAAGATAGTATTAGGATAACTGTTTGAAAAGTTAAATAAGGCCTGTAAATTACATAGTAGCTGGTTATCAATGTTATTTTTCTTAGAATTTAATAACTACCAGGGTTTTGTAAGAGTGTCATTTTAGATAGAAATATACACTCAAGTATTTATGTCTGTAACTTTCTCAAAAATAGTTCAAGGGGAAACGCACACACATATTTATATATAGACAGATAATTAAGAAATATGGGACTGAGTATGGTGGCCCATGCCTGTAATCCCAGTGGCTCAGGAGGCCGAGGCAGAAGGATTGAGAGTTCAAAGCCAACCTTAGCAAAAGCAAGGTTCTAAGCAACTCAATGGGACCCTGTCTCTAAATAAATTATAAAATAGGGCTGGGGATGTGGCTCAATGGCCGAATGCCCCCGAGTTCATTCCCTAGTACACCCTCCCCCTCCCAAAGAAATATAGAAAAATATTAGTGTTTGGTGAATATGAGTCAAGGGTCCATGGGGATTATTTGTGTGTGATCTCAGATAAATATCATTTACCTTCATTTCAGACAGTGCTCCAGTCTTACAAACGTAGAACACAGTGCTGTGCTAATTAGAATAAAAGCTGAGATGCTGTAACAAATAGGTCTGGCAATCATAGGGGTAAGGAATAAAGAACTTTATTCTCATTCTTAAACAGTCCAGAATGGGTAGGTGGCCCATTTGTTCTTGCAGTCATTCAGGACTTCTTCTGTCTGTCTTGTTTCTCTCTATTTCATAGGACTCTGTCCTCTTCTCCATGGTTGAGGCTACTCTGCAGATGTGTCATGTTCTAGCTCATGAGAAGAGGTAAGAAAGTGGTAGAGCACATGTTTTAAGGCCTGGACTTGGAAGCAATACCCATCACCTTTAACTTGTATTCCTGATGGAGAGAATTGAGTCACATGACCACACTTAGCTGCTAAGGAAGGAACATATGGTGGTAAAGATGCTAGGAACATGTTTGGGGTAGAAGCTGGTGATATGCTCAAGTAAAACTCTGTTGCCATGGAAAAAGAGTGGCATGAGTTCCGTGGACTGATGCAAATCTTTGCCACACATATCTATGTAAATCTCTCATATTTTAGCATAGTTTTATTTACTTATGCATGTAAGCTGCTTGAGGACCCAGGACTATGCTTTCCCTTCTGAATCCTTACCATCTAGTTCACTGTTCCTCACATACAAAGCTCTCATTTTGTTTCTGTTGAGGATTGAAAGAGGCAAATTAAGTATGTGGGTTGGGAGAGCATGGAAAGGGCAAAGATGAGTTACCTAGTTCAGAAAGCAAAGCAGAACTCAGCACACCAAGTTTGTATAAAGGCATTTGATGAAAAGCTTTGCTATGAAAAGAACAAAATGACATTAAAAAAAGGACAAAATTCAAATGTGATGCTCTATAATTTGGCTTCAAAGAAATAGTTTCCTAACTGTCACCAGGCAACCTCTTTTTTCTCCAAGCATGAGAAGATAGAAAACAGGTGAACCTGTGATTATACACAAGTTTGAGACAGAGGTAGAGGACGGACGTAGAAGCAGTTTTGAAGCATATGGGAGGAGCTGCTTGTATAAAACCCGATTTCCCAGCCACATGGTGGGATCGGAGGAGCAGGGGCCAGGAACCTTTGTTCTTTCGCAGACCCCACCCTTCACTCCCTATAAGAGGAGAGTTTCCAGCTGGCCTAAGTCAGCAGAAGTGAGCTGGTCTCCTATCCCAGGCGCCTGGAGACAACAACAGATGGTCAATAGGCAAAGCAAATTAATCAAGCCACCAAGTGTTCTCAGATTTGTTTTTCAAATTCACCAGGCTAGCTACACATGGCTACTGAGGTTATTGTGCATCATGTTATCTGACAGCAGTGTCCAGCCCTTAGATTTCTCTCACTGGCTCATGCTAAAGAACATATGCCTCATATTTCAATGAGTATTTTGAGAATTTCAGGAAATTCTAAGGTTAAAAAAACCCAGTATGTCAGGAATTCAAGCAAAGACCATCCATAGGACACGATTTCAGTGTTCTGATATATCCTTATGGGAAGAGATTTGAGCTCAGGGGTTTTCTTTCTTTGTTTTTTTAATATGGATTTTAGGTAAGAACCCCAATTGAGTGTGGGATTTTAGAGCTTATCTGGAGAAATTGGTCCTGACTTAAGATATGTTCCCATCCTTCCATCTCCTCCCATCATCCACCTCAGAACCTAGGTTAGTGCAGAACAGACTATATCAGTCTGATCACCCAGCCCTCAGCAAGGCTTTTAGTAATAAGTGGACGACCAAACAGCAACATGGCATCAAATGCTAGAGAAAGCACTAGTCTACATGAATATGGGGAAACAAAGCATGGGGTGTGGGTTTTGCCCACTGTGTGTGTGAACTACCGGGTATGTATGTGTTTTTTTTTTTTTTTTTTGTTCTTGGCATTGAACCTAGGGGGCTCAACCACTGAGCCATACCCCCTGTTCTTTTTTATATTTTAATTAAAGACAGGATCTTGCTGAGTCATTTAGTGCCTTGTTAAGTTGCTGAGGCTGGCTCTGAACTTTCAATTCTCCTGCCTCAGTCTCCCAAGCTGCTGGGATTACAGGCATGTACATTGTGCCCGGCAAACAGATGTTTTTAACAGCAGAAAA